ACTATAATTGACTAAAACCCTGATATATCTATTACATCTTTCCGAAACTAAACCAAACAACACACAAAAGCGAACGAAGAGAGAGTTTGACGGATCCTAAACATGCCAACATGCCTTGGATATTGGAGAGAGAGTGCAACGGAAAGATGCATCAGTGTCGTCATGAAAGCAACGGACAGTAAAAACAAGAAAATCAAAGCCTTTTTCTTACTAATTGAAGAAAAATGTGTAGCGAAAATAACAATAGAATGTTTTCTGAAAGAAGTCACCAACAAGAATATCGAAACCAGCAGATCAGATACATATCATAGGTATATAATTAACAACATAAGCACACAAAGATCAGAATTTGATATCAATCCGAGGTTTTACGAATTGGAAATTGAAACGTAAAAACAAATCTAAAATGTAACTCTCATTAAATTCTCAATCAATTGTGGTAGATTCCCACATAAAATAAAATGTAAATGTTTTAATGTATAAAGAGTTTCGAAAAAATGTATCTTTTTATATAATAATTTTTTTTGTATTTATTGGTGTAAATCTGAAATATTTTTTTATTTAATTATTAAGTTTGGTTAATTAGGCTTAAATAATTTTCTGATGTCCAAAAACTGATCAGATTGCACAAGTATTTATGGTAATAAAATCAAAAATAATTATACAAACTTGTACATATCTTTTGTCCATTTATGTCTTGTTTCTTTAATAATTCGCTACGCTTGGGCAAGTGCATAAAAGTTTATTATTTTTTATAATTAATTACATCGGATAAGAGGCTAACCGACGTTTTGTAAACTGCAAACTTACAAATTGTGCAACTGAATCAAGTCATCGATGCCTCAAGGTCGTCCCGATGGCCTTTGAGCACACACATGTTACCTTATAGAATTGCACATTCTTTTGTAACATCTGTACAAACGCGCGAAATATATGCATAAGGTGAATAACATGTTTTTTCTAAAAATAATTTTGACGAGAAAAAAATCGGTCATTATTATGTCGTGGCCGTGCCTATTCTTTTTTATAAGATTAAATTGACAACTGAAAACAAATAGTAATACAGTGCCCCATTAAAATACTGTGGCTCTTTTTTGGGAAGCTATAAAGTTTTATTTTTTTTTATTAAGAAACGACCGAAACAACGGCCTACTGGCACTAGGTTTTGTTGATTTCCTAAAACTTTCGATACGATAGAATCGAACGGAATAATCAAGACTCTAACTCAGTGTGGATAAACAAAACATAACATCTACAAAAAATCAACAGCAAGTGTGCAACTCCACTCCATGAAAAAAACTAACGAATTCCCATTGGAGAGAAGTGTGTGACAAGGAGACACGATGTGACCCAAGTTATTCATATAGTAGTGCTGGCGTATGCTTTCAATAAACCCAATTGATACATTACCTGGATAAATAGCCAATTATTTACACAAAGCCAAAGTAATGTATGTGAAAATTTGTAACGCTGTTACGAAATTGTCACACCTCACAACACGTGGAGTGAATCCCAAGTTGAAAATATACTTATTCCTATATCTCGTAGATTTTCATAATATGTAATATTATTATATTATTATATATTATATATTATTATATTAATATATAGCTTTAGGATACAATACGGTAATAAATTCCAGAAGACCATTTACTAATAATAGATTTTTATTGAACCTATAGCCAATTATATGGAATAACAATTTTTTTTAGAAAAAAAAATGTGTACCGGAGGATCCATACATTTCTATCGAAATTAATAGTATGAAAACAAAAAACTAAAATAGGAGTATCTAGTAATCAAAGAAAAAAACAAAATAAAATTCTACAGATTAATTATTTGAGTTATCAAGTTGAAGCAATTTTCGTAGTGTATGTCACACAATGTTCTAAACACAGAAAAACTTCACATGCCTCACACACGTATCTAGTTTTCCTGTCTCTATTTCTGGGACATTTTGAACATCGTCCCTGCTGATTAGGTATCCTCTTTTTTTACCGTCGGTTCGGAATTTTTCCAAAAAATCTTTCGGATATTGCTTCTCAACGCTCTAGATAATCTAGGGTTACTCATTCTTTCTCTTTGATGTTCTTAGATCAATTGGAAACTCACTGTCTTCAGAAAAAGCCTTCTAGCAATGTCAGGACTATCGTTGTTTTGTCTCTGAATGATCTTGCTACTGATTCCTGCAGTGTTCATTAGAGAGAAAAAAATTATTGCCAAATGCCAGCGACGACTGCTGCGTGCTATATTATACGTTGCAGATAGCTCGTCTACTACGTCAACTCCGCGGTTGGTCGAATTATAAAAGGAACTAATTTATATACATAAACCGGTATTTGGGAGGCATGCGCTTCCGGTAGGGATCTATGGAGTAGTATCACCGAGCCGCAAGCCATTATCTCTTGCCGTATTGCTCCACCATAGGCCGATCAGACACCAGCATATCACCAGCATATTTTAGTCTAAGCCGCAGATTCATCTAAAATTTTAAACTGCTGCATTAGTCTTTTTATTTTTCTGTACACCGAGCTGGGGCTCGAACTCACATCCACTGAACCATTCGAGAGTGTAGCGAATGAGAATCGGCCGCCTAGCGCGCTTGGCTGTCTGACCGACAGGAACTAATTTCATGCAGCTTATTATGAGTATCTTTTACTGTTTTATCATGGTGGAGAGAAGGAATAAGTAAAACAACTTTTCTTTTCTTTGGTACATACGAAAGAATAGTGTATCCGTTCTGAAATCCAAATGTTCTAGGAAAAACTTCTCTTCCTTTCGCTTGCAGGAATTCTATAGGCAAATCAGGCTTATTTTTCCTGATAGTACCTACTGCAGTTAAATTATGAGTCTCCCGCAACTTTGCGAAAAGATCACGACTAGTGTACCAGTTATCAAACGTTATATTGCGTTAGTTCCTAGACACGGGAGCAACCAATCTTTCTACAATGTCTTTCGGGGAATTGCTGACTTGGAATAGACTTTCCGGCTATTGTCCCACATACACCTCTATATTGAGTAGGTAGTTAATACGTGCGTCAACTAATGCATGTACCTTGATTCCATATTTCTATGACTTATTTGGCATATACTTCCTGAAAGCACATCTCCCTCTGGAAACTGATTTCTCGTCAATTGTCAAAAATTCAGGGGAAGAATATGTAGATTTGCAAATTAATAATTCGAATCGACGTTGGATGATTGTGCAACTGAAAACATTCATTCCTGTTCCGTCAGTGTTCCACAATTCATATAAATGACAATGGTTATTTCTGAATGCACCAGACAGCTAAAGACGCTCCAACACAGACTTGATTTTTATCACAGATGTATTCCCATGAGGTGGAAAGTTCTTTAAACTTTCTGATTTTTCGGTAATTCGTTGGTTAGTATGGTTAATCAAATCAGCAATCATTTGTCCATCAATAAATGGCAAGAAGCACTTAATTGGTGTCTTGGCATGCTTTGAGTGATTTGACTCCCGGTAAATGTGCGATTTTCTGCTTTTGTTCGAACATTTCGGATATTGGGATATCGGATATCGGATATCGGATTTCCATTCTCTTCTTCGGGTTCTTGTTTCATATCGGGATAATCGCTGTTGATACTTACATTGTCCAGATTTTCTTCTGTCTCTGACTCATTTTGATCAATAAATTTGCTTTCATTTTCACTCTTCCCATACCCCAGCAACCACAAAAGTCGTATTTAAAAAGTTATTTTTTACAAGTTACAGGTAATTAAATATTTTGACTTATTTTGCTGTTTTTGGAACAACAACTTAATTAATTTTTAGAATACACCATTTTGAACGTTTTCAATGTTATGCGAATACTCAACAAAATCGCATTTTTTTTTACTAAATTGGGTAATTAAAATAGACGAAATTTCTGCAGCAAACATAGATTTGCTCATTATAGGTATATATTAACTGAAAACTTGTCAAATACCTGTCTTTTGGCAATTGCGATGTCCTGAGAAAAACTTCTGGACTATATAGCCACCGTGTCAAATAACTTGCGAGACGTGCAATCGAGCAGCGCTGCAGTTGTCGTTATTACCACCAATTAGCCTATATTTGTCCACTGCTGAGCGTAGGCCTCCCATAAAATTTTCCACCTATTTTTATCTTGAGCTTCTTGCATTCAATTTATGATGATGCGCTTTATATCATTAGTCCATCTAGTTGGTAGTCGTTCTCGCCTTTCCAGAACCTTTCTGGTCTATCTAACATCCATCAATTTGGCAGCATCTCCTGCTCAAGCCTATTTAGCCATGCCTATTCTTTTAACTGCATCCGTGACTCCGGTTCTTCTTCTTTTTTGTAGGTTTGGTACTTTATTTTTCTTTTTTCTGACTACCTCATGTATTTATCAAATTTTATTGTTAAACTTATATTTAATGCCAGACATGATGCTTTATTTTATTTAAAAAAATAACCGAAAGTAACTTTCCTGATTTGTGCTTGATTAAGCGTACGAAATGGCGTATGGTATTGCTGATAGTTCAAATGTGAAGAAACTTGAGTCTATATGTGTTGATTGTCGATGAGTCAATCAAGCATATACATCTACAATAATCAACATTTTTTTCATGTTTATGAATAAATACAGTACGTGTTGTTATTTATATTCAGACCTACGTATTCAAATATTACACGCCCGAGCAGAATTTTGTAATTGAGTTTTTAATACGCAACATGCCATAGGGAATTGTATTTCAGAAAACAAAAGATTGAAATCAATCAAGACATAATAAACCATTTGAAAGGCAGTGCTGGAGAGATCGCAGAAAAATAAAAAAACGTAATTCAACTCAAACAAAACAAGAAAGTAGATACCGGTATCCATAATAAGTGACGTATTATAAACAAAACAAATGTGTTCATTGGTAAAATGAAATATACGTCTTCCATCTTCCTACGCACTATATCATCGAATTTATTTTTAATAGATATGTCTTTGTTTCATTTTTAAATAATATTTATTGCTTTGTTACAGAGTCCCGTAGGAACGTCAGATTCTTTGGACCAATCTTTATCGAGCGGAGTAGATATGCGTACCAGCGTAGTGCGAGTGGCTGAAGATTACACGAAGAGAAAAAACGTGCTTAGAGTATCCTCCGTTAAACCGTGTAGATCTGAGTTTCTGCTTCAAGCCGATAGTTCTGAAGATTTCGCAGATTGGGTCAAGAAGTTGCAGGAACAAGTGGCGGCAAGCACTGAGGCAGAGTTGGTGAGTAAAATTTTTCATTGCATATTGTGGGAAACCTTTCTAGTTATACTGAGAAAACAGAATACTGTACTATATAGTAGGTCTAGTTCACTATTGTTGGTCTTTGATACTTCTCGCAGCTGTTTGAACGCAGCTGTTGCAATGTTTTTGTACCAAAAGTTATTTATTCCTCTAAAATTTATTGTTATGGACCAATGCGGGGTTGTCTTGTCTAATTACATTACTTAATTTTCTTTTCAATTATCCTTTTCTGTCAATAGATTCATCCATCTAAGCATTCGTTGTGCTTCCTTTTTAATTGCCTACTATGCAGTTCCGCACATCAGAGCTATCTTGCGGCAGTTTTGTAGAATTTTCCTTTTAGTTTCATTGGAATCTTCCATCTCCATTTATTTCGCCATCCAAAGTTATCATCTTATTTTTAGTAGTAACTTCATTTTTAAATAAACATTCTAGATATTGTGATTTTTTCCTAATTTTTAAAAACGTTGAAGTTTAAAACATAAGTAACTTTTCCTTTAAGAGGGACTTTTGAAAATTTCAAAGAATTTTTTTGAATTTCCTGCAGAATTCGGGGGACTTAACTTGATTTTACAATACTACTTTACCCGTCTAGAGTAATCTTTTTATAACGATAAAGGCGTTGGCATTTTTCCTCACCTTGCTTGCCAATCGTGTTGGCCGGTGTATGTTTGGTTTACCAGTTGATTTAAGTCTAACACTGATTGTAGCGATCCACTCTGTCATTTCAATCAGCAGCTACCCTTTTCTAGTTTTAATTCGCACTGGGCATTTCATTTTTGTGGTATTATATTACTCATATTTATTAGGTGATCTGGAAAAGCATCCAATAAGGGACCAGCTGTTGGATTTTTTTAACATTAAAGAAACTTTTCTGGTGAGGTCGCTAGGAAAAATTTACGTAACTTTTCACAATAAAACCTTTATTTTACAAACACAACTTACACGAAACTGATTGGATTCCCAAAGGGAAGAGCCACTTATATTTTATTACTATTTTTACAAGAACAATTTTTTATTGAACTGAGAAGAAGTCATCCTTTCTGTTCGACATTTTATAACGAACTTTTTTGTTTTTTAACAATTCGTACACTTGGTATAAGTCAAACATGGACATCTTGTGTCACACAAAACATAAAATATGTTAAAGCAATTTATTGTTTTATTGTGTTGGGAATTTATTTCGTTAACACCAGCTACCCCTCAAGGGTATTTTCCCTGGACGGTGAAAATTTCATCAGAATTCATTGATAGAAAATCCTTATCCCCTCCTGATAGAATCCTTTTTGATAGAAAAAACAAGTTTTTTGGAATTAAATCGAGTTATTTCTCAACATAGTCCTCTTTTAGCTCGATAGACTTAGTAAGACGATGTTCCAATTCTTTTATCCCATCCGAATAGTACTTTTGCTCGAGCTCTTCAAAAGAGGCCGAAGTTTTAGTGACGACTTCATCATTTGTTGCGAAACGGCGTTCTCCGAGCCATTTTTTTAGGTTTGGAAACAGGAAAAAATTGCTGGCGGCAAGATTTGGGTAATACGGTGGGTGTTCAACCAATTCATAGCCCAACTCGTGTAATTTTGCCTTGGCGACGGCCGATCGCTGAGCAGAAAGAGCACTTTTTGGTGAAAGAGCACTTTTTTGCGTTCCAAACCGGGGCTTTTTCGACGCAATTCGGCATCGAATCGATCCAATAATGTTGCGTAGTGGTCACCATTGATTGCTTTTCCTTTTTCCAAGTAGTCGATGTGGATAATGCCCTTCGCAATCCAGAAAACAGTCGCCATCACTTTTCCAGTCGAATGCCTCTTTGCCTTCTTCGGCTGCCCTTCGCCACGTTTGCGCCACTACTGTTTCGACTGTTCTTTGGTTTCCGGTGTGTAATAATGCACCCAGGTTTCATCAACGGTGATAAATCGGCCAAAAAAATCCTTCAGATCGCGCCGATCATTGCCAAAAGCGTCTCCGAAGTGGTCACACGTTTTTGCATTTAATCGATTGTCAGCAAACGCGGCACCCATCGCGCGGATAGCTTTTTCATGTCCAAATGGTGAATGATATTGAAGAAGATCTGCCATAATCATGTCATGGACTTTGTTGATCATTTCCGGCGTGGTGACTTCATTAGGCCTCCCGGGACGCTCATCATCAAAAATACTTGTACGACCACGAACCAATTCAGCTTTCCAAAATTTTATTGTTGCTAGCGAAGGTGCAACCTCACCATAAACTTCGTCCAGGTCGGCTTTGATTTGCACATTCGTTTTACTCTTTTTGGGGAGGAACTTAATCACCGAACGATACTCAACTTTTTTCATGTCTCCGAAAACACAAAATTTTGTTGCTTTTGACGGCTGTAAAAACCAAACTAATTGTTTTTAAAACTTAAAATTTTGACAGACGTCATGTCATGAATGGCAACTGTCAACACCGAAACCAATTCGGTATCAAGTAGCGCCATCTATCAAAGGCTAGTTTAATGTCAATCTATCGTCGTAAGTATACTGGGTGAGTCATGAGGAACTGTACTCCTACATCGTATGAAATCCTCGTATGGGGAATAATAAATTACCATTACAAAGGGTCTGCTCCCAATGTTTAATAATATACAGGGTGAGTTTTGAATTTTGACTGAAATTTTTATTCGCCATAACTTTTGAACGGTAAATTTAGTGCGTCTCATATTTAGTAAAACGGTACACTACTACTACCTAATCAACCGATTTATTCAAACTAGGAAAAAAGGTTCGGTTTGTTTCATAGCAAAAGTTTTCCCCTGTATATGGTTTTTGAAAACTTAATAAGAATTTTATAAATTAAACAAATAGACAATTAAAATGCTCTATTTCTTTTGAATGCTCTATTTCTTGTAAATCATCTATTTAAAAAAATGGAATTTTTCTTACAAAACTTAATCGTTTTGAACAAACATTTAATTTAACATTTAACAAACAAATTTTGATTTGATTCATACTGGAAAAAATCAGTAACGGTTTTAAAAAACTCATTAGTTCATTTTGTACATAAGACAAATAGGCAATTAAAATGACATATTTTTCCTCACATGATTACTTAGTTTTTAATTAAAAAATCAAATTTGACTATGAATTTAAAGTTTGACAAACTGAACCAGCGATTTAAAAAATGTTACTTTTTTTAAAATGAAATAAAATGAAATTTTTTTGAAAATCTATTTAATGTATTAACACTTACTTACTTTTGCTAATTTTCATAATTTCAGAAAGTACAAATTCATCGTTAGTGTCATTGAAGTCTCAGATTTGCTATTTTACCTTTTCTCAAAAGAAAAAGCTACAATGCTTGTAATATGTGGTTCAGTTTGCTGCACCTTTAATGCATATCCAAATTTTATTTTTTTAATTAAAAATTAAGTAATCGTCTAGGGAAAAATAAATATGCCATTTAAAATTTAGAAAATTCTTATGATTTTTCAAAAACTGTGTCAAGAGTGAAATGTTTTCAATGAACAAAACGAATTAATTTTTTAAAACCGGACATGATTTTTTAAATTTTATATCAGGTGCAGTTTATTTTTTAAATGCTAAATTAAAATTAAATGAAAAAGACAGTAAAGATTAGATTTCACGTACAAAGCGTGTATGTATCTGTTTATACGCATTTCGGCCTAATAGGCCTCATCAGAACAGCTATTCATAGGCGTTCTCAACGTGAAAAATAAATCTTTTCTGTCTTTAAGGAGCAACATTAAAATGGCTTCGATATGGACGCAATAGCGATATCTGATAATAAATCCATAAAATGTTTTCGAAGCCGTAAAACTATTATACGGCTAAATTAAAAGTTTGTTCAAGAAAATTTAATTTTGCAAGAAAAATTACATTTTTTACATCTATGGTTCCCTTTGCTAAACTTTTAATTCATATTCAAATTTGATTTTTTAATTAAAAATTACGTAATCGTGCGAGGAAAAATAGTATGCCATTTTAATTGCCTATTTGTCTTATTTTGAAAATTCTTATTATAGTTTTCAAAAACCGATTACAGGGTGAATTTTTTTTTATTAACAAAACAAACTAATTTTTTAAAACTGGACCTAATTTTTTACAGTTTGAATCAGATGCGGTTTGTTCGGTAAATGTTAAATTAAATGTTTGTCCAAAAATTTTAATTTTTGCAAGAAAAGTTACATTTTTTACGTCGACGTGACGGTTCACTTTGCCAAACTTTTAATTAATAGTCAAAATTAATTTTTTGTTAATTAAAAATTACATAACTAATTTGTGGAGAAAAAATAAATATGGCAGTTTAATTGTCTATTTGTCTAATTTATAAAATTCTTCACCACTTTTTAATTTTGTTTATGTTTTACGTTTCCTAATTTTATCAAATATACTTTTACTTACTCATCCCTAATAAAAAATCATATGCACTCATTATCACGACAGTCACAACCACTGCAAATTCCATGTCGGACATATTGACGTTGACTCTAGAGGAAAGAGGGAACAAACCTATATCGCCTAAATACTCAACCCAATGTGTGGATGCCTCACCGTCTCACCGAACGAACACAGTTCATCCAAGGTTGGCGCCAGTGTTGGATCCCATGTGTGGAGCCGGCCTAAGGCTGTAGCACTAGATGATGATGATGATAATGACTTATTATAGCATTATAACAAGTACATTTTCATGGAGTACATCTCTGTTAAAGTTATAATAATCATACACAATCTTCACCATCTTATAAGTATTTTTATCTACCAATAAATTTATATAGATTATATCTGTCGCTATATTAGTATATGGTATCGAAATTACTTTATTATATTAAAGTTTACGACGGTTCAGGAGTGTTTTAAGGCAGTTTTAATCTTGTGAAGGTTGTCTATGGAAAAGCTATGGTAGAATATATTCTAAACAGTAGGCGACGTCACAAAAATGTCAGCATATGCATTTTATATTCTAAAAATGTTTTTAGCTATTAAATAAGATTAATTAAGATTAAATAATAGCAAATAAAATAATTTCTATTACTTATTTCTATAAATGATCGTGTACATACCTACTGACAATAACTAAAATAATAATTTAATAAATGGGCGATTAAAGTGATACATATATCGTCTGTTGACTACTGAATTTTGTGAAAATGTAGCAAAGAAGTGTATGTTTTCCCGTGTAATCACCACATAAACTTTAACTTTAACCACATAAGCTTTACCATAAAATGCACATAATAATTTTTAATCATTTGTTCAATATCATTTTCACAATTAGTATAATAATCTCAATATAATTAAAATTTTTGCAAAGTTATTGGTGATAATGTTGTTTTTAACTAATTTACTTTATAATTATTAATCAGTGTATTTTAATAAACCTTGTTAATGTAAGAATCCTTGAAGGTAACCCACTTACATCTTCATATATTTTATTAATATACGTTTTTAGGTCATTAAAGGGTTTCAAAAATTATTCATGGTCTTTGTGGCTATCGATTTGTTTTTATGTTTTCAGTATATTTGCCAATATTTGGTTTACATGTTGCCCCTATTCTATGTTTCTGCTTTTGGTTCGTCATCTATTTTTTGGACCAGTGTTTCTCACTTGACACTTTTAAATTACCTGTATGAACATGATATATATGTTTTGGATATATAAAAACGCATTTGTACGTTAAAAAAGCATAACAGAAGATGGACTTGGTAAGCCCAGGATGGACTTTATAATAAGTAGTAGAAATTATATTGCTTGGGATTATATTTTAATTAAATTATTATTATTAAATTAATTAATTAATTAAAATTATATTTTAATATATGAAAACGTACAGAAGTAGAGCCACCCAACAGATGAACCGACGTCATATAAATAGAATTGCTGGAAACTTGATAAAAGGGACACATAAAGAGGAGTGGCAAAATAATAGGGAATCCTACGTTTAGCATACATTGCTTTGTGCCCTCCAATTATAAAACTGGTCTGCCCCTGGTCTACCTGGCCTTTCGGCATACGACCTTTAGTGAATCCACTGCCCGACACCTACTAAGGTGGCACGATCCCGATACACCGTGGGGCCCTATATATATATATATATATATATATATATATATATATATATATATTATATATATATATATATATACATTTTTAGTAAAAGATAGTGTTTGGAGGCGATCGATCCAACTTTGCTCTGAATCCAGCTTATTCTATAAGAATATCTTTATAGATATATAGTTTAGAGATTTACCTTGATGGCGACCTGAGAGGCCCTGACATCTAAATCTGATTGATATATATATATATATATATATATATATATATATATATATAATATAAATGCGATAAGCTCGATACTACTACACGCTAACAGCAACCAAATAAAAATCCAAAGTGGTATCCGACAAAGTGATACGTTGTCACCTAAACTTTTCATATCGGCTCTAGAAAAAGCGATCAAAACCCTCGAATGGAGTAACAAAGGAATAAATGTGGACGGAGAGATGCTATACCACTTAAGCTACGCAGACGATATAGTCCTGATTGCAGAAAATGTTGAGAAAATGTTGCAAGAAAATGTTGGGAGAACTTAGTACAGCCTGTCATAAAATAGGTTTAAAAATTAATATAACAAAAACAAAATATATGACGAACTTAGTAAACACCTTGAAGAAATACAAAATGAGGAAATATAATTGGTAGACAAATATATATATATATATATATATATATATATATATATATATATATATATATATATTATATATTTATATATCTGGGTCACGAAATTAAGAAAAGTAAGGACAATCAAACAACCGAAGTATGCAGAAGAATAATACAAGGATGAGCAGCATTCGGAACTCTTAGGAACGTTTTTAAGAGTGACATCCCAACTAATATGAAAAAAAAGTTTTCGACCAATGCGTGCCACCGGTGATGGCTTAAATGTGGGCTGTGGTAGCTGTGAGTGTAAATGGGCTGGACACGTTGCCAGAATGAAGGACGGAAGATGGACTCGCAAACTAGTTGAATGGAGACCAAGAGCCGATAAACGTAGCAGAGGAAGACCACCAACACGAGGGCAAGACGACTTACGAAAGACAACAAAAAACTGGATACAGCCAGCACAAGTTAGAACACTTTGGAGACAAACAGGGGAGGCCTATGTCCAGCAGTGGATTGAGAGAGGCTGATGATCATGATATATCTATAGCAAAAGAACTGAATAAATGCAAAGAAATTCAGAAAAACATCAGAAAGAAAGTTCGAGAGGCAAAAGAGAAGTAAGGATGCAAAGAACAGATGTTTAGACAAGAGACAAGAAATTGAATATCTGGATATAAAGTATGATAGCTTTAACTTACACAACAAAATCAAAGAAATGACAGGTTTCATCGACATAAATGACGAATATCCTTAAAAATGATAAAGGAGACATTATTACTGATATGAAGAAAATATTGTGTCACTGGACCGATTACATCCAAAAGCTATTTAATGATGAAAGAGAAGAACTATCATTAGAAACCACAAAGGATACCGGACCACCAATATTACGGGAAGAAGTGATCTATGCCATCAAAAACACAAAAGAGAGCAAAGCTACCAGACCCGATGATGTGCTAATCAAATTATTTAAACTCATTGATGAAGGTGTTATTGATGTAACAATAACACCTTCATCATTCACCCTTCCTCTTCTTCTTCTTCTTTTTATATAGAAATGACTGTCTGTTTTTCAATTTTTCAGTAGTCTTGTGGCCACTATGGTTCCTATACTCGTTCCCCGATAGGAAGACGATCTACTGATCGTCTTCCTATTGGGGAACCAGAACACCCGAAATCTCAAAATACAGAGAGGAGTCCGCCAGGATTGCGTGCTATCACCACCACTCTTCAATGTCTACAGTAAAGCGGTATTTAAAGAAGCCCTCTCAGATTAAATATAAGGTATATCTATCGATGGAGTTTAGAAGTTTTGAATAACTTACGTTTTGCAGACGATAGAGTAATAATGACAGATAACAACAATGATTTACAGAACGTAATCCAATGCCTTGTGCTGTCATAAATACGGACTAAGGATGAATTTGAAAAAAAAAACTAGTAAAATGCATGATCATGATTGTTGAGCATACCGCGATTAAGAGTGTGGATACCTACAAATAGAAGAAATTAAGAGACGTATTGAAATATCACATGCATCATTCGTTAAACTATCAAAAGTAGAAAACTTGAGTATGTAGGCCTGGTTATGAGAGGGCAATGGCCATTATTTCACCTTACTATGCAAGGCATAGGAAAGCGAAATGTGGGAAGACGAAGAATACTGTAGCTTAAGAACTGGAGGGAATGGTTTGAATGCAGTAGTATAGAAGTATTTAGAGCCTCAGTCAACATGATCCGCATAACCATGATGATTTCCAACCTTCGATAGAATATGGAACTTAAAGAATAAGGCTAGTTGGATAAAATAAAAAGTGAATATCTACATACTTAATCACTAAGAAAATAAAGGAAAATGGAAACACTTTGGAGTTAAGTATATATCGACGCTGCTATAATTGAAAGTACAGACCTGTATTCAGTTAATTTGGATGCACCTTGAATTTGACGATAAATACATCCTTAACGATATCAAAATTACTTTTATCTAAAAATTTCATTAATTGATGTAGATAAGTGTATTAGTAAAACTGTATACCTCAGGATGGTCTGACTATGGAGACAAATTTTCTGCAATACGAAGCAGAATGGGCAATTTTTCAGGTATATTTACTTTAAATATCCTATTTCTCATTTAAACTAATTTTATACACTAAAAACAAGAGCTATGTAACAAATTAGTGTTTAAAATTGTAACATTTGGTCCTAATTTTCATTTTTGTTTCAAATCAAACATACAAGTGTCTTAACCATATTACTGTGACTGTTCCAAATATAGAGTCGTAGTTATTTAGATTATGCGATAATCAAGCATAAGAATAAACAATCAAATATGATAAGAACAACTTATCAATACCTGAAAAATAAAAAAATCTATTAGTACAGTCCAATTTCTACTGTTGCATCAACCGCTCTGTTTTTTAAATGTTTTTATTTTTATGTTTTTATTTGTATTGGCTGCCCCCATTACTTGTTGTCAGAAAATTCTTTCGGCTTTAGAACTGTAAGTTGCTTTATTTTGTAGACTACAGTTTTTATTAATTATTTTTTAAGTATTTTTTCTTAAAAATAGCACCCGATTCGTAAAATAAACTCTTGTTAACATTTACACTTCCAAAAATAAATCGTTGTCTTAGCTCTTTATGGTTTATTTGTTTATCTTCACATTCATCCAGGAAACGTCCATCACAAGATTATTATACAAATTTACATCTTCGAGTAATAGCTTGCTATCACTTTGGTGTATTTAAGGCAGTATATGTCTTAGGAGGACGATTTGAATTGGTAAACAACACCCTGTTATCGCATCATTTCGGCCTCCTATGGCCGCATCAGACGTGAAGGCTGAATACAAGATAATTAGTTTTTTCTTTTTATGTTTTAACCATTTTTTTATTTAAAAGTTATTTTAGATCGTGGTATTATGGATTCTTAAATTTATTTTTATATCATAAAAAAAACTCGTTTAGTTTACTTAACTAAATGTTTATATTTTCAGGATCCTCAAAGCAGCAAGCAGAAAGCGGTACCTCAATTGGTGCCAGCTCTTACCACAATCCAAGTGCAAGGTAGTCATTTATCTCCACAACTAAGTAAGCAAAAACCCACAACATCTCGAAACCGTTCACCAACCGGCCAATCTCCAGTTAGCAAAAGCAGAAAACCCTCACAAGTACCGGAGCCTACATCGACCAGTCCGAAATCAAAAACATGGCGGGGGAGAATGGTTAAGCAGTTGCGGAAGTTCAATCAAGGAGTTAATAATCCAAACAGCCCCACGGCGCCAGAGGGATCTACTTTTGGCATACCGATAGAAGATTGTATTCCCTCTGCTAATAACATGTATCTTCCAAAATTTGTGGAAGTCTGTACGGATATTATAGACGAGAGGGGGTTGCAGACCGTTGGGATATATCGAGTTCCAGGTAAAAACAAAAATTGCTACACCTCATTCACTTATTACCTTATTATATTCAACTTAGGCCAGCAATATATTATATTCCAATAATTTCATTTTTGGATATAATTATCATAGCTTTGTTTTGGTATATGATGAGAAATGATTACCTAACAATCTTCATACTGCGTCAATGAAATGTAATGCAATACCAATAGTACGCATGTTTGGACACAATAGAATTGTGTGGTTTCTATATTCTACAATTATTTTGACATTTAATATTTATTTGCATTGGCTCACATGCAGTATATTTGATTTTTCACCTTTCTCGGTCTTTTATACAAAATTAGTCATTTGTATAGGTAAAGAAATAATAAATAAGACTTACAATCAATTTAATTTAACTATCAGACGACCGGTTTCGCTTTCTACAATATGCAAAGCATCCTCAGGTCTCGATACAAAGTTAAACAAATGCAAAAATAATAAAAACCCATATTAGGGTGTTGTCTAATAACGATAAACAAAGTAGATGTTGTAAATTACAATAATTATTTACTATTAAACTGGGAATAAGCCACAATTAAGGATAAAAATACGTTTATTGACGTTTCAATTTCCACTTCGGAAATCGTTTGTATTTTGAGAACGATTTCCGAAGTGGAAATTGAAACGTCAATAAACGTATTTTTATCTTTAATTGTGGCTTATTCCCAGTTTAATAGTAAATAATTTACAATGCCACAAGAAAATAGCTTCAGAACCACAATAATTATGCCAATATTACATGTCTGTGGTTTTATTTAAATGAGTAAGTTGAATAAAAAGTATAAAAGTTTTAAAAGTTTAAACAGACAAGGTAAGGCCCACAAATTGTTATAAAATAGTCTCTTTGATTGTAATAAATTAATAAATGAGTAAATAAATAAAATAAACATTACTTACATGCCGGTACTCTATTAATTGATGGATGGTAGAACATGGTTGAAATTACTATGTATTGTTGAATGGAGAACTCAATTCTATTATTGCAGTTGTTTGACAGTAAACGGGAAGTTCTTGAGGAGATAGATTTGATCCAATGAAGAAGAGATATGTGTATGATTGTTTGTTAAATGAAAGTGATGTAATATACCATTGTGTTATTAAAAGTTATTTATACTTATTCGAGAGATATATTTTTGAAATGTGTGTTATTTATTGATAAATCAATAAATAAATAAAAAACAATAAATAACACACATTTCAAAAAAAATATATCTCTCGAATAAGTATAAATAACTTTTAATAACACAATGGTATATTACATCACTTTCATTTAACAAACAATAATACACATATCTCTTCTTCATTGGATCAAATTTATCTCCTCAAGAACTTCCCGTTTACTGTCAAACAACTGCAATAATAGAATTGAGTTCTCCATTCAACAATACATAGTAATTTCAACCATGTTCTACCATCCATCTATTAATAGAGTACCGGCATGTAAGTAATGTTTATTTTATTTATTTGCTCATTTATTAATTTATTACAATCGAAGAGACTATTTTATAACAATTTGTGGGCCTTACCTTGTCTGTTTAAACTTTTAAAACTTTTATACTTTTTATTCAACTCACTCATTTAAATAAAACCACAGACATGTAATATTGGCATAATTATTGTAATTTACAACATCTACTTTGTTTATCGTTATTAGACAACACCCTAATATGATTTTTTATTATTTTAGCATTTGTTTAACTTTGTATCGAGACCTGAGGATGCTTTACATATTGTAGAAAGCGAAACCGGTCGTCTGATAGTTAAATTAAATTGATTGTGAGTAAGTCTTATTTATTATTTCTTTACCTATTTGAAATGGACTCACACAAGCAACACATTCATGATTTTAATTATTTGTATTATCTTCTTATTACGCCGTCTCCTTTTGAATGTTGGCGGTCCAAATGGTAATTGTAGCTTTGGAAACTGCTGCATGAAAGATTTCTGTGGATGAGCGGTCAAACCATCTCCTCAGGTCTTTTAGCCACGAGTTCTGGCGTCTTTCAACTGATCTTTTGTCCTGTACTTTACCTTCCAATATGATTTGGAGTAATTCATATGTTTCAGCTATCACCACATGACACAAATATTGTATTTTTCTGTCTTTGATTATGCTGAGTAATTCTTTTTGTTTACTCATGCGCCGAAGTACCTCACCAATGATAACTTTTGTGTATATGGAATTCTTAGCATCCGTCTGTATATATACATTTCATTCTTTTTTCTGTTTCAGAGTCCATTGTCCAACTTTTACACAGCCATATGTATTATAAAAATTGTTTTTTAAATATTTGCGAAGTAAATTAAATGCATTTTAATAGAGTTTTCTAAAACACTAACTTCCTATAGTGACGCCATTCGGAGCAATATGATATGTATAAAGCATATTTTCAAGGATACCATAAACTATTGCTTCCGCAATATGACGAAGTCTGTCGTCATTTTTGACTGCTTTAAATTATCCAATATCATTCCCTCTATCATATTTTCTAGAGATGTGAAACAGCAGTTGTATGCTTCTTCATTTGCGTTTTGTCTTTGGATATAGTTTCCTACAACGTTTAAAGCACTTTCCACATCTTGTCTATTAGGACCTTCTTGCGTAGAGTCAGTCACTCGTAGCAGATATTAAACTAAGGTTAAAACGAATTCAGCAACAAAAACCAAAAACCAATGTACTTAATTTTGACGATATAAACATAAAACATAACATTAAAAAAGAATTTAACATTAGAATAAAAAACATCGGAGAACAACTAAAAGATCCAGACGAACTATGGAGGGAATTTAAAAACCAAGTTAACCAAATCTCCACAAACAATGATTATAGAAAAAACTTATTCGAGAAAAATAAATGGATGACAGACGACATCTTGGAATTAATAGAACAATTTCGACTGATAAAATCCAATGTAACAAAATATAGACACCTGCAGAGAAGAATAAAAAAGGAGATCAAATTAGCCAAAGAAAAATGGATGAGAGAAAGGTGCGACGAAATGGAGGATGTAATATCTAAACACGACTTATTTAATGTGCACAAAAATCTGAAAGAAATGAGTAATATATTTAAAAAACGAGTTCCCTCTGCACTTGTTGACACTAATAACAAAATTATTGTAAATGAGCACGAAATAAGAAAAGAATGGCAGCTGTATATATCAGAGTTGTTTGAAGATGACAGGAATAATATTGCCGAATTCTACCAAAACTGTACTGACGGCCCATAAATTATGAAATGCGAAGTAGAACATGCTATAAATAATGCTAAAATTAGATAAGCTTGTGGTCCAGATGATACACCAACTGAGTTGCTGAAACTAATAGTGAATGATAACATAAAAGTCGTAGTAAGACTTTTTAATTCAATATGTAACACCGGAGTGATTCCCGCAGATTGGCTCAAATCCATCTATATCGCAATACCTAAAAACACAATGCGAGAAAATGCTCAGAATATCGATTAATTATTGAGCCACACTCTTAAAATTTTCCTCAGAATACTTCACAACAGAATAAGACGCAAATGCGAAGAAGATCTTTAAGATACCCAATTTGGTTTTAGAAATGCTATGGGAACCAAGGAGGCACTTTTTCGCTTAACATCCTATTACAAAAATGCCGTGACCAAAGAAAAGATGTATTTGCATGTTTGGTGGAGTTCGAAAAGGCATTCGATAAAGTACACCATGTAAAATTAATGCAAAACTGAAAAATATCGGAATAGATGACAATGATATTCATGTTATTAAAAATTTGTGCTGGAATCAAACTGCTATCGTAAAAGTTGGAGATAACTATAGCGATGAAATCCTCATACAACGAGGAGTCAGACAAGGTTGCATTTTGTCGCCAAAGTTGTTTAATGTTTACTCGGACAAGTTAGTTATTTAAAAAGGCACTTGAGGGACAACCATATGAAATAAAAATCAACGGGGAACTACTTAATGTGGTTAGATATGCAGACGATACAGTAATTCTATCAGATAATATTGAAGGTCTTCAAATTCTGCTTGATCGTATTCACGAGGTAGGAGAGGAAATGGGCATTAAAATAAACTCAAACAAAACCAAATTTTTAGTGTTTAGCCGTGACCCACATTCCGATGCAAAGCTTCAATTGAACGGAGTCCAAGTTGAGAAAGTTCACAAAATAAGTCCCAGCTCGTTGGCATTGAAAACATGATCGTCACAGTAATTTTGTCTTGAGTATTGTATGAGTTCAACCAGTTGTCAGTGACTTCTTTGGAAACACTCTTCGCTTCACCACAAATTTTTCCAGACGTAATTTTGTACCTGGCATTAAAACGACACATCCACCCATTCGATGCTTTAAAATTCCCATCAAAACCTAGCGCCTGAGAAAACTGTGTTGCTTTTTCTTGAAGCAGTGGTCCACTTATTGAAACATTCGCAGCCCTCTTTACGGTAAACCATTTGACCATTGCAGTATCGAGTTCTTTATTAGTTGCGGCACGTAGTTTTTTCGATTTACCGGAAAAAGACGAATCTGCTTCAAAAATCTTGTGTTTATTTTTGACCATGGTAGAGTGGAACTTAAAATTCCTCTTTTACGACAAACTTTTGCTTTCTTCTTAGCTTTCTCAACATCTTTAAGGATGTTAATTTTTTCTTCTAAACTAAATGCTTTTCTTTTAGAAGTCATAGTGTGTAATCTATGTGACTATGTAATCTATAATACAACTTTCAAGACGCGAAAGCACAATCAGAAAACAAACGATAAACATCTACGACAAAAACAACCGTGAAATGAAATTCGGGTGAAATTTGTTTTATTTGTCATGTTTTTAAGTCTCTTTACGTAGTTTATTAGGTGCGAATTGTCAAACCTCTACTTGATGTGAATCATAAATTGTAAATTTCCGACAACACAATATCGGTCGGTAGATTAAACAGATGAAGTTTATTGTGGGTGTCAGTAAAAAGGGTATTTATTTATAGCCACGGTCGGGCCAAAAACGTAGAAAAACACGGTTTTCGATCTTATTTGCTCTCGTTATAACTAAATTTGCCTCGCTATAGAGAGTAATAGTTCAATAGAAATTTCACAGGACATCTAATGCACCTCGTTATAAGCGAAACCTTAAAGAGGGAGTATACCGTATCTATTTATACTTCCAGTATTTAGTAAGTCAAAGTTTTTAAATTTCCTTTGTTATTTTAAACATCTCGATTGTCAAAATATCCAAGATTGCAGCTATCAAATATTTTTTATTGTTTAGTTTAATACACTTATTTTATTTTTAGGTAACAATGCTTCCATTACAGCCTTAAGCGAGGAAATCAATAAAAACTACGACGATGTACCATTAGATGATCCTCGGTGGAATGATTTGCATTTAGTAAGCAGTATCCTGAAGTCATACTTCAGAAAAATGCCCAATAGCCTTATCACTATTCAGTTATACCCCAGTTTTATTAAAGCCGATAAAATTGAAAATCCTAAAGAAAGAATGGAACAACTGAGGCGTTTGGTAAAAAGTCTTCCACGTCATAACTACTATACTCTCAAACATATAGTGATGCATTTGAGGAGAGTAGGCAATAATTCGAATGTAAATAAGATGGATTTTAAAAATCTTGCAATAGTATTTGGTCCAACCATAGTCAGACCTGAAGAGGAGAACATGGAAAGTATGGTGAACCACATGAATAACCAGTATAAGATAGTGGAGACATTACTAACACATGTAAGTATATTATGTGCAATAGATTAGATTTCAGTGGTTTTGGACTGAAGTCATTAGCTATATAATAAATGCCCAGTTTGATTGAATATATTGTTTTAGGCTGATTGGTTCTTCCCAGAAAACGAGTCTGAAGATAATCTTCCTGTACCTGATAGCCTCAATGATGGCCTTGAAGAATTTGATAATAACAATCAATCGTTGCTGTTAAGTAATATTGGTAAATATGGAGGTAAGTATTTTTGCTGTTTATCTTTGTTTTTATTGTTGATTTATATGTGGCGACACTAAGATTAATGAGCGGAACCTGAAGAAATAATATGAACTTTTTCACACAATCAAAACTGCTAAGCAATTGCAACGAAGGAAGAAAGTATTCGTCAGAGTTTTCGTGCTTGATCACTTAACATGCAGAAAGTTTGCCCAAAAATTTTGCCACAACGTTTTCCCCCAAAGCAATGGAGATTTTTTTTTGATAATCGGAGAATTGTTTACATTTAATGGATTCTGGAAGGTCAGAAAGTAAATCACTATTATTTATACATTATTATAGTTTCTGACTACCATTCGTAAAATAATGAGACAAGAAAGACTTATTATTTGGACTACAAGACTCGGCGCAGGCCCATTCTGCGCTGTCGTGAAGTCATTCATTGCAAAATGTGCCAATACTATCTTAGACCGTCATTCGTACGCCCGACCTGGCCTCCTATCAGTGCTTTTTTATTTTATTAAAGTTAAAATATGTGTTTTATAGTACAGTATTTGACAGCCTGAAAGAAAAAGGGACGGAGGTTTTCACGAAACTAACATATGCGGACTTCCAGCAATGCTTTAAGCAATAAAAAATTCGTATAGAGCGTTGTAGGGAGAGAATATTGAAGGAGATACACTTCGTAATGTTTCCAAATTATTGTTTCTTTCTAAAATCACTGAATTATTACTTACGTCCCTCTCATCCGTTGTTATTGGTATCAGTTACGATCAATTATCACGATTTTTTCAAAATGTTCAAATAATGAAGAGAAAGGATACAATTAAGCAGTTGATTGTACTGCAATTACGTTTGAATTTGCATTGATTACGTGCAATGGACATAAAGGGAAAAAGTGTACATATTATGATTTTGTTTCTATTTAAAAGTGTTTAAAATGAATCGTCGTAATAAAATTATATTTTTTAGCTCTAACACATCCAAAAGAAAAGAATGGTGCTTTATTTTCAACTATAATCTCAGCTGCTCAAAGAAAAGTCAAAAGGAAACCAAATAAAGCCTTAAGTTCGACGCAAGAATCCAAAGAAGAAATTGTGTCTCCTACTAACCTTAAAGTTTTTCCTACTCAATCCTTCCTACCAACTGATCTCAAAGAGGTAAGTCTTTTGAACACTTACCAGCATAGCTTTTATCTCTGTAATTGTCTTTAACACGACAATCTAGTAAGTTCTGCTATTTAAATTTATGTATTGTATAATAATTGTAGTGCTCGTTGCCTGACGAAAAGACTCAAGATATACCAACCACTGTTATGGATATCGAGAAGAAAAATACTTCAACTGCGGAAAAAGTGCCTTGGTTTAAGTACTCGGATACAGACGAGTTTCACAGGAGGATTGAGAACTTCAAGCAGGAGACGCAAGCAATGTTGCAGTTACCTAGAAAAACAGAAATATGTGTTAGTAATGTAGGTAAGTGGTATGAGTTTATATAAGACTAGTAATTTTGCCCGTTACCATTTGACGGGGGATCCAATCAATTGCATCTACAATCACTCCACCTATTGTTTTCTGTCTTCCTCCTATTTAAGGCTAGGACCACAACAGAATAATATTTTAATCTGTTGTACAACTTCCATAACAAATAATTATTCATTTTTTGAGCAACAACACACCAATATTGAATTAATTGTCAAAGATATCACAATAATGTTTTAATATTTCTTTTGATAATAGTTAATTTGTGGTGGCAGGAATAAATTAAATTATGTAAAGAAATATTTAATAACGAATAAAAAAATAATAACATGTTTAATGATTCTTCTCAGGTTTTTCCATAACACTAAAATATTATATAAAGTTAGCTCAAACATCTTCAACTTCAAAAAGTTCAGTAATGTTTTCATTTAGCAATTTATCTTCAAAATTGTCTTAATTTTGATCTCTCGCTAGGTTATACTCTTAGAATATTGCTGTAGATTAGAACGGTTGAATCTTTTCAACCTTACAACCACTTCCACTGGATGAAATAGTACCTAAACCTTCTCTTTTATACATAAAAAGTTAAGTTGCATATCTGGTTCTAATATAAAATCCATTATAGAAATTTGATTGTTTAGAGGACCTCTTAAAAATAGCTTTACTTTATAATCAGAATCTCCTTGTAAGAACCCATTTCTATTATTTCCATTTAAACTTCTCAGCAAGAATACATAATTATTTATTCCTACATGGTAGGTACCTAGAAAAACATATCCAAGAAGTATCACGAAATTGTCAGAATTTAAAATCAATATTCCATATATTATATAAAAGATTTATTGAAAGTTCTGAAAATTTTTTACTACACTCTGGATATTTTGTATACTTACTCTTTTTTTTTATATAATTGAGGTCTATATATATATATATATATATATATATATATATATATATATATATATATATATATAATTGAATGTATTTTATAATTAATAAAAGAATCTGACAACTCGGTACTATGTACATATTTTTCATTTTGGAATCCGATACTACTATTAATGAATCAATAGCCCCAATATCTCTTGAAAGGGGTTAATTAATCAATTTTTTTAATTAACAAGATTATGCAAATATTGAATCCCTAAACTAAGTAAATGAAAATATGTATACAATTACTTTTATAATCATTTATTAACAACTATTTACAATATTTTCTTAGAATATAGATCGCTGTCAGTTTGGTTAATCTTATCCTTTCGAAAAAAGTGTTTATCATTACAAAAATTAAAATGTTCAATTCTGCATCAAATATTATATTAAATCTTTTAATAACCATGTCTCTAACCTACACTAAACAACAAGATTTAAGTTATATTTTTGATTTCGCGATAACCTACAACATAATAATGAACTGCAATTAACACAATTTCAGGTTTCTTTCCTAGGTGACGCTAGAAATTTAAACTAAAAAAACTAAACGCTAAACTATCATAAAACTTTTAATTATTTTGTATTAAATCGTACCTATTATTATATAAGGTAAGATGGGGCAAGTGCGAACGAAAAAATTCATAGTTAATATTCATTTAATTACAAAAATTGCCTCTTTCAAATTAAGATTTTTTTAAACTTCTGTCGTATAATTGTGATTATTAACCGACCAATTAAAACTATTTAGATAACAAAAATACATTACCTACCAAATTTGCCTATACATTTTTTTTCGCAAGTACATGTTACGCACTTGCCCCACTGATCCGGGGTAAGTGCAGAAATCCTACATATATGTAATTTTTATTCTTTATGCTTAACTTTAATAAAATATTAAGAAAAAAATGCTACGAAATATTTTTTAAGAGAGAGTCAAAACAATTTCAGATATTTTGACTGAAAAATATTTATTTAAAATAAAAACATAAACTAAACTTACCAGAATGAATAAATCCTGTTAACAGTAACAAAAAATAGTAATAATTGGAAAAAATACTTATGCTATGCTTCAAACACTCCAGGTGTAGTCTCAAAAATATACTTTTCGTAATTAGCAGTTATTGATATTTTTGGAACAGGTAGTTTTGTTTCTATGTCCGACAGTAGAATAGTGCAGGCATCGTTGGGTTTTAAAATAAAATGGCACTTATTTGTGAGCCTTTTCAAGCCTGTTACTTCGGCTTCATCACCATTGATCAGTTGTTTCACCAAACAAACATATTTGAACATTTTCTTTTTTCCAGGAAAATTTACTAATACAAAATCCCCAATTTGTATTTTGCTAAATGTAAGTTTGTCAGTAGGGTTTTTTTTCATCAAACTCTTCCAAATCACTTTTGCTTAGCTCGTCAAATTCAACAATTCTGTTTTCGCTTGAATCACTGTACCAAGAACTATTATCATTTTCGGAACTGCTTTCAGCAATTTTTTTTTGTAAATCTTTTTAATTTTTTTTCTGGTTTATATTTTTTTGTTGTATTTGAACTTAAAATTTTTTCAACATTGGCTCTTGTTATCACCTCTGCACCCAAGCACACGCGTTTTCTTTTCTTCGAATTAGAATTGTTTTCACGTTTGGTTGACCTCAATAACAACTCTTCGAATGAAACATCCAGAATCTTCTCAGTTTCTTGAAATGTTTGTATATCTGTCGAGCTGGAAGTTGACTGTGCTTCGACTGTGATTGGATTTTCATTATTGTTTGCTGATGTACTAGGCAAAGTTAAGTCAGGACCATCAAACCTAGCCACGTTACGGGTTTTTTGCCAACGTTGGAGAGCCACTGGGTCAAATAAATCTTGCTGAATATTATTCCTATTCAGCGGAACTATTCCTGGTTTAATGAAACCACTCACTAATATTTCGGGCCTGGTTTCCTGCCATATTTCTCCTATCATCTTGGAAAACATACTTTTTGTTACAGCGGCCCCCACATTTCTTCTCTGCCATTCAACAAGTTTAGCATCCCAACGGGTCTTCAGTGATTTAAATACACACACATCTAAGGGCTGGAGTACACGACTGGTGTGAGGAGGGAGCTTAAGTATCGTAATATGGTTTTCAACAGCTATATTTATGACATCTGCTCCAAGATGACTCGCGTGTCCTTCGTAAATTACTAATACCGGTCGTTCTGAACCAATAAACTTTAAAAAACTGTTTTCAAAATAGTTTCTAAATACAGTTGTCTCCATCCACCCTTTAGGAGTGGCAGCGTAGGTAGTATCTAAAAACTCCGTGCCACGCGGAGCAGTCCACTGGTCCCAAACATGTTTACCTTTGAAGACAATAAGCGGAGGTGCTTTTTTGCCACTTGCGCTGCAGCACATAAGAACAGTTGTATTTTGTTTGCCAGTCCCACTAATAGTTCTTGTGGATGGAGCTCCCCTTTGTCCGACAATTTTTGTTTTTGACGGATCTGTGCAAAAACTGCTTTCATCCAAGTTCCAAATTTGCGATGGGCGTTCTTGTAAACCAAGTTCTTCTATAACGTTTTCAAGTAAATCAAAATAGTTGTAGATCAGGAATGGGTCAAGGTTTTTTTTTCTAGCAAATTCAACACTCTGGGGTTTTTTAATAGAGAGGTTATGTCTACGCTTGAAATTAAGAAACCAATCTTTTCCTGGTTTACCATCTGTTTACCATCCGTTTACCTGTGTCTTAATGTTATTCTCTTTGACGAAGTCAGCTGCAACCTGCAACACTTCTTTTCTAGAAAGGCCAAAACCCCATTTTTCCATAGTACGAAGGCCATTTGCTAGTTTTTCTTCTTCCTTTTAAGGAATGTCCTGAGTTCTTCCATAGCTGGAACTTTTTTGTCCTCTCCTACCTTTAAGGTGATCATGGAGAGTACTTCTTGGAATTGTGTACACTTTAGTAGCTCGGTATAAAGTCATTTGCCCAGATTTAATTGCAATTATTACAGTGCAATTTTTAAACTCTCTTTCGTATATCCTTTGCCCCTGCTACTTCTGCGAATGTAATTTCTCACCATGGTGGAACTAAAAGCATAAAGAAAAACTGTGTGAGATTTGGGGCAAGTGCGTAATATTTGCCGCTCTTACCCCACAATTTTATCCGCACTATCTCCGACTTTAAAAATACGTGGGGCAAGAGCGGTACAACAATAAAAACTGTCAAAAAGTAAATATTTAAAAAATATATTATGTTTATCATAAACTATTGTGCCTAAGATACTTACCTACCAAAAATAATATAAAGATGTTCACAGATTCGGTAGATATAAATGGATTAATTTTTATCAGTGACCTTGCTCGAGAAGTTGCAAAACACAAGTGACACTACCGTACCTATAACATCAGTGAAACGTAAGTGAGAGCGCCCACCAAAGTGGCGTGGCACGTAGCAAGTGGCAAGTAGAACGCGTCTAGCATGTTTCTTAAAATGTAACCAATGAAAACGAATGATTCAGCGTACACCAAAATGACAGTGACGTCATTCATTCTAATCATTCGTTTTCATTGGTTACATTTTAAGAAACATGCTAGACGCGTGCTACTTGCTACGTGCTACTTGCCACGCCACTTTGGTGGGCGCTCGCCCTAATAAAGCAGCTCGCTGTTGTTAAAGACTGTTGTCACGGGTATTAAAGATACCAAATAATAGATGGCAGCCCATATTTCAAAAGTGATAGGTTTTTATGATAATGTTCTGCACTTGCCCCGATAATGCACTTGCCCCATCTTACCTTACTTATAATATTAAAATTATATAATACATTATAATTTGTAATTAATATTTTTTATTTTTTATAAATTAAACATATCGTTTCAAAAACAAAATTTAATGACTCAGCACAAAACAAATAACAATTGTTATTTGTTCTGTGCTCATAGGTTGAAATGTCAGTTGTTCAGATGGCGTTAGGATTTTAAATCTAAACTAACATAAAGCTTTAAATTATTTTGTAATAAATTCTACCTTAAAAATATGATTAAAATTAATTATTAATTATATTAATATATACTTAATACAGTATTAATAATTAAACGTATTGTTTCAAGAACAAAATATGATTGAAATGTCAAACTGTGGTAGTTCAGATTTCTTTCCTAGATGGCGTCATTAGTTTACTGGTAAATCGGTGTACTTGTCATCATAGCATTTTGTATAGATATATTGTACAAACTCATGGAAAAAATGATATTGGACTTTCTCCAAAAAGAAAGCATGGGAAATAGTATGTTCTCAGTGAACTTTATATATTAGATATCTTCAAAAAGGATATTTTTGTCTTGATCTTGTCTTAAGCCCCTTAAAAGAAAAAAATCGACTATGTGAAATATACGTTGTTCAATAACATGAACATAAACCAACAGCGATAAAAGTAGAAGCTAAAACATACTACATATCGAAAAATTAACCGAAAATTTTATGCATAGTCCTACACGTATCTTTGCATAGATACCAATGCTTCAGTCAGTGTGGTGAATTAATTTAAATCCGATGATTCATTAAAATAATTAACCAATACCCACAATCGACGAAATGCAAGATCTACCGAAAACATCGTCTCTGGCCGTGTGAGATCAGGAGAATCCGAAACAGTCGATTTTACGTCGCCCACAACTCTGCATTACATAGATAACATGGTGAATTTGTTCACATCACATAGTTGTTCGGTAGTCTCTGGGCATAGGAAGTTCTTTAGCCGTTCATTCATTATATGTAACGGGATTTTGCTGGCCTGAGGAATGAGAGCAATGGTTTTGTAATAGCTGCATATGGTTCTCTGCTCGTATGCCACATATCCCTGTTTTCTTGCTTCTTAATTAGTTGGGAGCCTTCTCTATTTGTGCCCGTTAACTAATAGGTTCTGCATCTTTGATTGCATGTTCCTTGTGCTCTGAGACTAAAGCATCTTTTAAAATGTCTTTGTATATGATTTATACGATAAATAAAAAAAATAATCTAAGTGGTAAAAAATGTTACAAAATAAAAATTTGTTGTTGGTGATTGATATAATATTCATCTAGTATTTGAGATTTGCTTTATTTATCTAATCAATGCATTATTTGTAAGTGATCTACGAAATATTTAAATGTTCGATCGATAATTAAAAACGAATAATGATTAATGAAAATATAAAAATTAGTTTTAAATATGACAATGAAGTATTTAATTAATGTCATATATTAAGGTTTAATTGTAACTACAAATATATAATATTTTCAGATCCTCGAACGATGGGCCAATATAGCTCGTCCGCGAGCAATGTGAATCGCAGCAACAGACTGAGTACTGCCAAACAACCCGAAGGTCATCATCTAATGAAGACCCACAGTGCTACTAATGTTTTTTCGAGAACTGGTAATTCTGCAGAGCTGAATCGTAACAGTCTCGCCACCATGGACAATTATTCAGTGCAATATAACAAAAACGGTAACGATTACCAATATGTAAAACAAAGTGGCGCTAGCAAAGTGACAAATAATACGAGAAGTGACGTTACCGACGGCAATAGTGATAGGACAGTGGGGGCTTTTAGGAGTAGTATTAGAAGGGGCGGTTCTGTAGAAAATGTTAGTTCTAGTTCTGTAGATATATCGAATGGGAAGAAAGTCAAGTATGAAAGTGAGGTGAGTATTTAATTGGTACATATATTTTAAGCAAACATCTAAATTTCTAAGGTACAACAATTTCAAAGTGAAATTTTATGTATTTGGTATGAAATACATATAGTATTATGTTCGGAATCGTTTTTTCGGATACTATAATGGAACAGATTTAGTCATACGGCTCACACTCCCTCTAAGGGGAAAATTCACTCATCCCAGATACCTATCGTATCAAAAAGATTGAGCTCTGGTGGGACTCTTTTCATCTTATCGAGTCCTAGGTGACTTGGTACATCGGTATATCTCCCAAAAATGTTTGTACGCATCTGGACGTCGAAAGTATCACAGCTTTCTGAATGATCTTTATATATATATATATATATATATATATATATATATATATATATATATATTAAACCCAGCTTTTTGATAGTTTCTTGGAGGTTCTTCGGAATGACTCGTGTTAGAAAGAATAATAGGTATCGTCTGGGTACTTTCCATTCTTCAGTGTCTCCTTATTTGTATTTCCAGATCTCTGTACTTGGCGATCTTTTCGTTGCACTTAACAGATTATATTTGTTAGGTATCGCCATATTGATTAGTATTGTTTGTTTTGTTAGTGTATAACTAACACGAGATCTGGTCTATTATGTGTTACAGTTTGGTCTGTGAGCACAGTGCGATCCCAATATAGCTTTTAGTTGTCATTCTCAAGCATACTCTCAGGAACGACATTATAATATGGGAGATGGTTTGTTTGTATTGCTCAGTTTGATCGGTGTTGGGTCAGCTACTGCAAAAATCGGGCGATAAAGGGTAGAGGTCTCCGCCTGCACCTGAAAATAAGTTCTTAAATTAGTAGTCTGTTTTTCTAATTGCTCGCTTATATCATTAAGTCCTCGTTCTCCTAGATACCACGGTAATGTCTTTCTTTCTACTGCACTTCGAGGAATTTGTTTTTGTGCCTTTGTGAGTTGTGTTCGTACTTTACGCTGAAGAGTTTCTATATCCGTTTTCACTAATCCCAAATAAATAGCTAAGCTCGGAAAGGCGCAGGTGTTTAATGCCTTAAACAAATTTTTACTGTTAAGATGTGAGCGGAGTAGCTGTTTTACCCTTCGTATAAACTCTTATGTTAATTCAATTTTCATTTGTTTATGGTCAATTTTCCGCGCTTGTTCTAATCCTAGATATTTTCGATACCGATAGATACATGTCATTTACATCATTTCATGTCACCCATAGCCTCGATGTTTTGGCCATTTTGCATATCGAATCCTCCGGGCAGAACTTTTCCCTTGACTTATTTTAATACACATTTGTCTAACCCAAAGTGCATACTGATATCATTTGAAAAAGTTTCTACAGTTTTTAGCATTTGATCTAAGTTATTTCGAGTAGCATTAGTCCCAGACAAGTCATTAGTTTCAAATCATCCCTATACAACAGATGATTAAGCTTCGCCACTACAGCATTGTTGTTTTTAATACTAAAACCTGAGTCAGTGGAGTTCAATAGCTGGGATAGTGGGTTCATCGCTAGACAGAACCACAATGGACTCAACGAGTCTCCTTGGAATAGGCCGCGGTTAATTGCGATATTTTCCGTTTCGATATTGTTTTCACCAGGTATTTGAAAGGTTAAATTTAGTCTTCCGATTTGTCATTATATGGTTTAAGAAGGTCACTATATTATCATCGACTTTATATATTCTTAATATATCTACCAGCCATTCATTCGGCACTAAATCAAAGGCTTTCTTATAGTCAATAAAGGCGGTGAAGAGGTTCCTTTTTTAGTGTGTGTCTGGTTTGAAATGCCTGAGTCGATAATAAGTTATGGAATAATGGAACATATTACTATCATTAGTATTATTAGAAAAAATAATAATAAACTTGAGTGAGTTTTCGGCTTGGACCGTGTATTGAATTCTGCTACGTCGAGCTTTCGCCCCTCTCTCTCTGAAGTCTTCATGGGGACCTCTAAAAAGCCTCATTATACTGAGTCCTTTAATCACTAGATAGTTACTAGGTTTAAAGCACCTTATACGCGATCAGCAATAATAATGTCAAGCTTACGTCAATTCTAACTAGATCATTTGCATAGCCCAGATCATGAACTCCTTCGCTTTTGAGCTTTCTTAACAGATAATAAATCTTTAGGTTTAGAGAAACATTACAGAAATGGGAGCTGAAAAGACATTTGACGAGAATGTAAAGATGAAATAAAATAATTATGGAATTAAGGCGAAGATTGAAAATGAAACGAAATTCGAATTCAAAAACGGCTGACAGATAGCTTAAAGAACAGGATTTAATCTCGTTCATCTTTGACTCTAGTGGTGAGATAAACTGCTTATTAATTATTTCAATTTTAAAAGTAATTGTTTTAGAAACAAACTTACAGTCTTAAAATCCTTGTTTTTTTATCAGAGCACAAAAATACTTGGAGTATACAAGTTTTTACTCACTCGCCATCAGACAATGGTTTGTACTTTTGGCAGTATTGTATCTTGTATCCTACAACGTAACTGGTATCTATTGATATTTTTTGAAAACATATACACACAAGAAAACGAATATGGAATCACCATGTATTTCAAACTATTTTTTTTTTTTGAAAATCTTATTATTGTTGCGAAGAATAAAGGTTTTTATTGAAAATAATCAAAGAAATAAAACAATCAGACAATTCTTCTCGGCACGGTATAGATTATTTGTTTTAGTTATAAATTGAATTAAAATCAATAAACCAAACTTTCGCTTTCAAAAAAGAATATATGCCTTATGTGAAGTTAACGGATGAGCACAGGGAAAAGGTTATTGGTCTTGTGGAGCAATGAATATCTCAGAGGGACATAGCTACAGTGGTAAGCGTAACACAGAGCATTGTGTCAAAAACGTAAGTGGAGTTAGGAACGCTTAAGAATAAAGCAGAAAGTCATCAAAAAGTAACAACGACTTGCCACGATCGTTTTATTGTCCAAATAGCTAAAAGAGACCCAATAATTTCTCACGCGCAACTCCCAAAGCAGCGTTTTGAAGATACAAGTGTAAGTGTTTCAGTTGAAACGATAAGAAGAAGACTTCGTGCCCAAAGACTATACAGCAGTAGACAGTTAGGGGGCCCGAGTTAACCAGGCAACATAAGATTGATCGCCTAAATTGGTGTCTTCAATACCAAAACAAATGTGCAAATGGACAATTTGTACGTACGTCAACTAATGCCATATGATTCCATATTTCGATGGCTTATTTGGCATATATTGCCTAAAAGCTCTGAACGATTCAAGCTTCTCGTCAATTGTCAAAAATTCAGATGGAGAATGTACAGATTTGCTACTTTGTTCCGTCAGTGTTCCACAATTTATATAAATGATGGTTATTTCTGAATGCACCAGGCAGGTAAAGGAGCCCCAACACAGCCTTGATTTCTATCATAGATTTTTCTGCAATTCGTTCGGTAGTATGCTTAACCAAGTCAACAACCACTTGTCCATCAATAAATAACAGGAACCACTAAATTCGTGTCTTGACATGCTTTGGGTGATTGATAACTCCCGGTAAATGTGTAATTAACTTTTCTGTTCTTGTTCCAACATTTCGGTTATATGATTCTTTACTCCATTTCATTCCATTCTTTCCGGAATAATAACAACCTTGTCTGATACTTTCTACAGCAGCTCACCGATTTCTATTCTCGTCTTCGGGTTCTTGTTCCATATCGGGATAATCGCTGTTGATACTTACATTGTCAATATTGTCTTCTCTCTCTGAATCATCTTAATCCATAAATTGGTCTTTATTTTCACACTCTTCCCACATACGCATGAGATGAGCCTGCTCTTTTTTTATAGTCGCCCGATATTTCCAAATCTACGAGAGTGAAATTATGAATAACTCAATATAAATAGTATGTATAAGATAACTTGAAAGCGACACCACGCACGGTATAATTAGTTGCCGATTGACCTGACTGCATCAGATTGTAGACAAATATGTATTCGAAAGCTACTGAAGCGCTGTTGTCGTTTGGAGTGAAATTTGAACTTATAATGGTTATTCTATGAACTCTGGGGTTTCTCCACCCCACGTGTCGGATGCCGGGTTAATTTTTTTAAATATGTCTTTGATACAAAATATACTACTCAAAAGTTTTAAAAGGAAAGCTGAACCATATCTGGTTGCTTAGTTGAAAGTAGACACGTTTTTTTATTAGTGCGGTAATTTTAATTACAAATTTACTTCATTAAAAATTGTTTAAATATAATTAAAACACTTATGTATTATATTCATTATTATAAATAAAATATTTTATATTTTTAGAGTGACAGTCATAGGACGACTGGTTCCTTGGAGTCTCTTAACAAATTATCAAACGATGATGGTAAGTTAGACAGTTTATATACATATAACACAAGTTTACCTTATAGACCAGGAAAGTAACGATTTTCCCAAGGCACTATTTGATACAGGTGTCTAATGACTGGTTTTGGTAAATTTGGTGATAACAATATGTAATAAACAAAATATGCAAAAGATTAAACGTCATTTTTTACTTATTAACAATATAATATGGCTACTTAATTTTAAATAATAAAAGTTGACTTGTCTAATATATTGGTAAGTCACAATTTTACTGAAAAGCATAGAAAATTCTTTAAAATGAAAGTTTGTAAAATTATTTTTGGTAATTTGTTGCTTAATGTAAAAACAGCTTCAAAAGTTAATTTTTTGAAAATTATGAATAACTTTTCTAAAAATGCACAAACAATTTTAATTTTGTGTGAGAATGGGGACAGCATCACAAATATTCATCTACACAAATTTCAAGAAGTTTCACTTAATAGTTACTGCAAAATTTCAATTGTTTATCCCAGAAAGCTTTTATCTATACATTATTATGCTTAAATTATAGAGTCTACATAAATTCTGAAAGCACCAAATTGAAGATAAAGGCTTATATAAAATTTTATTGTAAAATAGGTTTACAAAAGTACTGTTTTTTAAAGTTTAAAAACATTTAAAATAACTTGACAGATCTACATCTTTCTTCTGCAGTGCCTTGTCCGGTCCGGATGTTGGAGATCATCAAGGCTATCATGGTTTTGTTGACTGCTCTGCGAAACAGCTCCGCGGAGGTCATCCCAAACCATTGTCGGAGGTTTTTTAACCACGAAATATGACGGTGTCCCGGGCCTCTCCTGCTAAATACCCTGCATAATGAGTTGAAGAATTCGATATTTTTCTTCTTTCCGCATCATGTGCCCGAGTTACTCAAGCTTACGTTGTTTCACTAAATTAAGCAATTCTTTTTCTTTTCTTATGCGCTGTAGGACCTTAACATTGGTGACATGGTCCACATACGATATTTTTAGTATCCTTCTGTAGATCCACATCTCGAAGGCTTCAATCCGCTTTTCTGTGGCTTGCGTCAGTATCCAGGTTTCAACTCCATATAGTAAGATTGGAAGAATTTAGCACCTCACTATCCGCATCTTGATTCCCAAACTGAGATCACTGCAGCACAGCAAGGATCTCAACTTGATAAATGTAGACCGTGCCATTTCAATTCTGAATCTAATCTCTTGAGCGTAGTCCCATTGTGAGTTGAGGGTACTTCTGAGGTAAGTGAATCTGTCGACTCTCTGGATCTCTTCGCTACCTGCCATTAGTGCCCCGGGATCTAAATGTGCAAGGCTGACAACCATGAATTTAGTTTTCTTAATATTAAGGTCTAGTCCGTATGTTACGCTCACAGTTCTCACTTGGTCTAGTAAGGCTTGTAGATCATTAAGGCTGGTCGCTAGTAACACAGTGTCATCGGCTTAGTGGATATCATTGATGTATTCACTGTTCACTAGGAGGTCAGCTGGTCTTCGACCTTGACTTAAGTAAGCTGGTTCCAGTATAAATTCGTGATGATCCGAATGTACTTCTCATCCACTTCTACTCTTTGTAGGGCGGCGAACATAATCTGGTGCTGACAACGGTCAAATGCCTTGACGTAATCAATAAAACAAAGATAGACATCACAACTGCGGCATATTTTGTTCGCATTTCTTGTAAATTCTGGCATGTATGATTTTAAGAAAAATCTTAAGTGCATGACTCATAAGGCTGATAGTTTTAGAATAATAGAATTTTAGCTGATAGAGTAGAAGTTTTTTTTTTGGTAGTGTTACGAATGTTGACAATAGCCATTCCTGTGGGATATCGTATATGGCAATAAACAGTTCAGTTAACTCCTTTGTACTCACTTAACTCATCACCTTAATAAGTTCAACGGGTATTTCGTCCGGACCTGTGGCCTTACCATTCTTAGACTGTTTTAAAGCTGCTTTTACGTCGCTTTCTAGTATTGACGGCCCTGTCATGCAATTTATTTCTGGAAGGTTACCTCGGTAGTTCCAGAAAAGTTCTTCGATGTACATTTTCCAGGTCACCAACTTTTCCTTAACTGTCGTCGCCAGGTTTCCGTCTTTGTTTATGAGGAGGTATGTGTTATTCCTCGTGTTTATAGACCAGTGGTTTCTCGAATCTTTCTGTGCATATTTCACCGTATAGATCAACATGTAAGAAGTAATTGTTTTTTATTCGAGCTGTTAACATTTTTAGACGAGTTTAAAATAAAATACAATGTCCTACGACCCTTACAGCTTAGAACCTTTTTTTTTTCAAAAATTCATACCATTTTAAAAACTGATTTCATAACTTTAAATTTATAAAAGTCACAATATCCTCGGTTTTGATCAATGAAAATTGATATATTTTTTTAAACTTTGGGTACCTCGTTGCAAAGATTATAAAACTTCAATAAGTAATTCGTGAATTGTTTATGTAACCAAGTAATTAGTTTAATTATTTAAAATAAATCTTTATTTTGCAAAATTTTACTTTTTTCTTATTCGAAAAGCATACGAAATGATGGCAACTTAAATATTTATGTACTATAGTTATAAATAATATCTTTTGAAAATAAATATTACAAAAAAATTTATTTTTTATTGGAAAATCAAATTTATAGTTGTTAATTTTTCTTGAATTATGCTTATTATTTTTACAGTTACTTTTCTTAAGTCAAAAACGTTACAAATATATTTTAAACAAATCAATTATTATAATCTTTTTATAAATTATAAACAAATTTAATTTTACTATTTTATTTATTATTATACGAAGTTTATAGCAGTTTATAGGTTTAAAATATATTTATAATGTTGTTTAGTCAAATTGTAAAAACAAAAGCATAATTTAAAGAAAATGAAAACGTACATATATATCTGATTTCCAAACAAGAAATACATTTTTTGTAAGTATAATAGTTTTTATATAATAAAATTTATTGTAGAGATATTATTTATGTCTAGAATACATAAATATTTAGGTTACATATCTCAACCTATTCTACTAATAATAATATGAGAAAAGTTAAATTTTGCAAAGAACGTATTTAATTTAAAATTATTTAAACAAAATACTGCGTT